GAGTGTACGTGTATTCCGACGTAGTTTGTCGGAAAAAAACTCCCGGATAAACACATTTTGACGAACAAAACAAAGCGCGATCGGGAGAGCGAGAGGCCGCAGCGTCCGCACGTGCCGCCATCCCTTAACCAAAAACTTGTAATACAATGCACTATTACCACCTCATCTGCTGCTAATTATATTACTATATTTATTATGTACCACTGTTGAAATGCCATAAATGCACTATTGACTTGTAATACAATGCACTATTACCACCTCATCTGCTGCTAATTATATTATTACTATATTTATTATGTACCTCATGTATATATTTTTACAGACCATACAGCACCTTAAAGCTACACATGCACCTTATTGTTATTGCACCTTAATGTTCGTCGTTCTGTATTGTTTATGTCTGTCAGCGCACGGGAAGGCGAGGAACGTAATTTCGATACCTCTGTATGTTCTGTACATGTGAAGGTATTGACAATAAAGCTGACCTTGACCTTGACAGTCTGGTTTTCATGCGTTGTGAAGACTTCACATATATATGGGCATTTTTAAACTCGATCCCCCAATCTTCACCATCACAAACATAAACTAAATATTAAACATAAAAAAAAACTCTGTCCTAGACAGGATCTGAAAAATGTCCCCACGACAACAAAGGTCCACAAAACATGGCATTCTTGTCACAGAAATGTCCCCATAAGTGCAGCTCTACACACACAGACACACACACACACATCTTACCTACTGGTTTGGTTTAAATGAAACCCGCAGGTTGACAAAGAAGTAAAGTCTGGTTTGAACAGCAGGCACACATTTACATCCACACTAACCTGTTTCTGCTCTTCAAATGCTCCAACCGCTCCTGTCTTTCGTCTCCTGTTACCACTGTGTGTGTGTCGTTGTGTTCAGACACCTATGGAGAGGTTGTTCCTACCTGTCGGCTGGCTGATCACGAAATGACCCAACTGTGGTCAAGTATAAACAGAGATAAGGGTTTCACTGAGTGGGCATTGTAATTATACAGTCAAATCACATGAACATGGCGGGGGGCCGGGGGGCTGTTGTATTGTATAACAACACAAAAAACAGTTTATCATGAAAGCAACAAACGGTTCGGCAGACTTCTACTGTTAACTGAAGGGAGAAATACCTTTGGGTCCCAGAAACGAGACAAGATTTAGATTTGATTATACTCCACCACCCACCATGCTCCACCCATGCTCCACCCATGCTCCACCCATGCACCCCCGACCTGTCTAACTAACTTCACACCAGTGCTACCGCTCAACTCCTGTCATGTAGAACCCAAAATGTAACCACAGTTGTTCATTTTCGGAACGGTTCGATAAAACTGTTTCCTGTTCGAAACTGATACTGCAACTTGGACTATCTGCCAATACTGATATCAATACGATAGCTTCCTTTCTCCTCCACTATGTTGCGAGCTGTCGTTGCCGAGGCGATAGTGTTCCTGTTTATGGTGTGTTGTGGAAAGTTGAGTGTTTGAACCTAGTTATTGGACCAGACAGAGGGTTGCTTTAATTCTTTTTACCTATTGATCCTAAAATGTTGAACAATATCAGACCGATAACTACTGTGATTTTTTTTTTTTTTTTTTACAATCTTATCAGATCAAGCAATCCCTAGTTCAGTTATCACAGGACCAAATGTCAAGAATCCAGATCAATCCTTTTTGGTTTTACGTCAAAGCATCTTAAAAAATGTCCACGTTAATGTGGATAAAGTTTTTAAAACATATTTTGGCAGCAACATGGACAAGGGACTGAGTTGTTGAATAAAAAGATAAAAACTGTGGAAAGATGGATGCAAACGTAGCCCTGGAGGATAAACCTAAGTACTGCAATAGTTTTATGGTGTGCAATAAGACATTAAGGTGTCCGTTATAGGCGAGGGATGTAATCTTTGCACATGGCAAATAATACTGGGTTGTGACAACTGGATTGCCTTTTTGTACGAGGAATGACTGCATACAATGGGGTTGTACTTTTGGGTTCTGACATAAAGACTCTGATTCTGAATATCTTATATGAAAGCAAAGGCATTATGTCTGGAAAATTGTACTT